ATATATGTATATATATATATATATATATATATATATATATTGTCTGTCTCTAAATTTTATTTTTAATAAATATAATTATTGTAATAAATTTGTTAAGTATAAAACTCACACCAACATGTTACTGTACGCAAATACACGGATACACCAGATTGTCATTCATGGGAGTGACTGGAAAACTTCTATTCAACCTCTATTTAGCTCACACTGAAGTTCTGTGGGTTCTGACTTCAAAACGGACCCAGCCAATGGACCCAGCCAAACAAATGTCTTTCCAGTGATCTAACAGCCAAAACTTCAGAAGTAAAGCCTTCTTCTCATAGAGGCTGGACTTGCAAAGAGAGTATGAAATTGCAATTATATGTTCAGTTGTTATTAAAATATCAAAACCCCGGACTTAATATATGCACGCCAACAGAGATTTGCATATTGAAGAATTTCATATTCATAAAGAGTAGCCTAGCAACGAGCACAAAGCCATATTCAACAGACACACTCACACACAAAAAGACTGAATGTGAAGATTGGGTTAGTTGGAAAATGTGGAAGAAAGGAAAAAGCAGGTGCTATAAGTGCAAAGCACACAAAATAAGAGGGATACCTTCTTCAACATCTGAAATATAGTCCTCAATGAGCATTTCAGGCACATTGGCTCTACGAACTGTGTAATTTAAATAAAAAGGGTTAGAAATGATAGATAAATGAATGAAAATGAACTTAAATGCACATAAATAAACTGAAATTCACATGATTAAACCATTTTCCCAACCATGTTCCTAAAGCCACACCAACAGTACACATTAATCAAACAAACCTGAATCAACTGATCGGAACATAAGAAGGGACTCCAAAAGCTGAAGTTAATGGGTCAGATAAGAGAGACACCTAAAACATGTTCTATTGGTGTGCCTCCAGTAACAGGGTTGGGAAACACTGGATTAAACCATCCACGTATGAAAAGCCTTCATGTTTACCTTCGTCATCAGACATGTCCAAGACCTCGTTCATTGTTTCCGGAACATTCATTTTATGTTTCTCAGTCACTGTCTGCAAAGAAATAAAATAAAGTGTTAGTGCATAATCTCACAGGCCACTTTATTAGGTACACCTTCCAAGCACAGAGTTGGAACGCCTTTCGCCTTCAGAACTGCCTTAATCCTTTGTGGCATAGATTCAACAAGGAACTGGAAATATTTCTTAGAGATTTTGGTCCATATTGACATGCGAGCATCACGCAGTTGCTGCAGATTTGTCGGCTGTACATCCATGCTGCAAATCTCCCAGATCCACCACATTCCACCAGCCTGAACCGTTGATACAAGACAGGATGGACCCATGTTTTTATGTTGTTGACCCCAAATTCTAAATCTACCATCCAAATGTTGTGGCAGAAATCAGACCTGGCAATGTTTTTCCAATCTTTTATTGTCCAATTTTGGTTTCCTGTACTTAGCTGACAGGACTGGCACCTGGTGAAGTCTTCTGCTGCTGTAGCCCATCCGTTTCAAGGTTCAATATGTTGTGTGTTGCTCTTCTCCATACCTCAGTTGTAACGAGTGGTTATTTGAGTAATTGTTCAATCCAGTCTGGCCATTCACCTCCGACCTCTGGCATCAACAAGGCATTTGCGCCGAAAGAACTGCCGCTCACTGGATATTTTCACTGTAAACCCTAGAGAGGGTTGTGTGTGAAAATCCCAGTTTCAGCAGTTTCTGAAATACTTGCCGGCGAGTTTATTTTGTTCTTTGTCAAATTGAAAGCATTGATTTTAATATTTGTATTAATATACTGTACTAGAACACAGTAACACCTGCTGTAAAATATTCTGCAGAATAACTGTATCTATTATGATTAGAACATGTTACGACACAAATTCCCTCACCACAGTAGTGTGCGTCTCCTCTGTCACTGCTTTGAGCGTGTCGACCACAGAGATGTAACCCAGGCGCCTGGCAATAGCTAAGGCAGTGTTTCCATTCTGTAGATTTAAGAAAAAGAAAAGTTTAGAATAAAAAAAAAACTAAAAACTTTTTAAGGTCAATATTATTGGCCCCCTTAAGCAATATTTATTTTGATTGTCTACAGAACAAACCATGTTTATACAATGACTTGCCTAATTACACTAATTTGCCTAATTTGCCTAATTAAGCCCTTAAATTGCACTGAAGGACAACATGACATTTTGAAAAAAATAATAGATGTATACATGAACCTAATTAAGAGGTAATGGACATTGAATGGAATGATGGGTGAAATGGGTTACAATTTACTACATTGTGTTAAAGAATAGAACTGAGTAAAGGTTATTGCACACTGAATCCGAAATTTTTGTGTGTATAAACAAATAAAATAAATTCGACCTCACGTAGTGTCAATTGTATTGACACCCTGCTTATGAAATTTTCGTCCGTCATAAAAATCAGTTCAGACAGTTCAGAGCCACTGTACAAGCGAAAAGCTAAATACAGAATGAAGTTACCTGAGCTACAGCTACACACAGTACACAAAATAAAGACAGAATGTGGTGGACAGTTGAGAACCCCTATATGCTGGATTCAGTGACTGGTGTGTGTGTGTGTGTGTCCATACATTTGACGTACGGCTCATGGACATTATAATAGAAAGCATGGTCTGATTTTGGTTCATTGCTTCGACACGCCAACGCGGCCACCATCTATTGTAAGGTCTATAGGCAAATCACCGGTTTGTATACCATCCGGAATGTGCGCGCATCGAGATTGCAGAAAAAAAAACGGGAGCGCTAGCATTTACAACGAGGAAATGACATCTTATGAGCTACAGAGTTTGTTGTTGTATTAGAAATAAGTTATTGATTACATATTATATATTTATTATTTACATAATGCCTTCAGCATATTATAACAGCTTGTCACCAAGTGATAAGCACAGTTATTTGGCAAAAGTAAGCGGCATTCATCTGACAAGTGCATTTGCGATAGCACCCTCTCAATGAATATTGGATACGACAAAATGGTATCCAGCCCCAAATATACAACTATCTAATTAAAACTGTGAAAAATTAAAACTTTTTACAAGAGGGAAGTTAAAGGCCTGCAAGTCTTTGGATGCCTACAATGTTGTTCTGTATGATCATGTGCAAGAAATAATGTTCCATGATTACTGGATTCAAAACTTTGTAGTGTTAAAAGCTGAGGTTCTGCCTAGCCAAAGACAAGGAAAGAAGACGAGAAACAAGGCCTGGGTAATCATCAACAAGCAAAACAACTGCATTCTGACAGCGAACTGCACCTGTACGGCAGGGTATGTGAACTTAGATTTTTACATTTCATTCTAAAGGCTGATTTATACTTCTGCGTCAAACGCCGGCGTATGCTACGGCGCTGACGCATAGCCCTTCGCCGTGGCCGTCAGCGTCGCTGATGTTCACCTCTCAAAAAATGTAACTACACGTCGCAACGGCGCATAGCGCAAGCTCTGTGATTGGTCGGCTTGGTAGTGCTGACGAGTCTGGGCGGGACCGAGAGCCGCGTGAATGGTGCGAGCCTGATGGAGCGATTGTTTACAAGTGTGGAGTCCCGTGAAGGAGCTCCGGATGGAAAGTTTTGTTTTGTGTTTACCTCATAGTTAAAGTTGTTGCCCGTTCACCGGTTCCTGCCTCAAAATGAGCCAGTTTGAGCCACTTGTACGTTCCGGAAGTGTTCAGGAACAGCAAAACAGCAGCGAAGAAACTCGACACAGAGGAACATTTACACCTCACTGCCAACTAGCGTTTCGGAAGTGTTAATGCAGACCAACAGAGACAGCGCACAGAAGTATAAATGCACAGCTACACGCGTTGCATGCGCCGTGGGTTACGCCGGTCACCTGACGCAGAAGTATAAACCAGGCTTAAGCATGTATGCAGTTTAATTCACCATATTTAATTTTAGTTTTTGCTGAAATCATTGCTGCAATCAAAAAACGAGTAATGTGTATGATTCAGCATAGCGTGAACTTACCTGATATGAAATGCGAACTGCAGAGTCCAGCATTTTTAATTAGGTCCTCACTCCATTCAGCTCTTATGATGACTGTTAGCCAAAGACGTCTGTGGTTGGCATTAAAAGCAGTGTGGTGTACGGTAAAAGCTAAGTTTTCTAGTTTTGGACTTTGGTTTTTGGCATCCTACCGCACAACACAAAATGTTTGCTATTGCAACCTGTGTTTTTTTTTGCAATTGGTATGTACGATTGAAACGCTGTGACGTCATGTGTGACGTGGGTTGGTAATTCCCCTGTAGATATTGCCAGTCTCTCTGTTTAGCGTTTGTTTACATGAGTGAATGTTTGAAGTATCACAAGCAATGTATCAAAATTCCAGTTTTCCTGAAATAAAGTTTGCATTTAGGGATAATCCAGCGCAGCTCTTTGATAATGAGCTGAACTCTTCTTCCTATATTGGATGAACAAAATATGCAGCCTATTCCTCTTTCTTTTTCTACTTTGGAAAAGAGAGTGGAGAATGAAGTGTCACCATTAGAACTGACCCAGATATGTTTTGTTTTTTCATAATGGATTAATTAATACGCATTAAACTCAGTGTGAAGGGATTGTGTACGTGACAATTTTTTTGCATATGAATATGAAAATGTTTCCCAGAGATGGGTTGCGGCTATAAGGGCATCTGCTGCGTAAAACATGTGCTGGATAAGATGGTGGTTCATTCCGCTGTGGCAACCCTGGATTAACAGAGGGACTGAGCCGAAAAGAAAATGAATGAATGAATGAATATGAATATGCACATGAAAATTTTGGACTTCAGTGTGCAAAGACCTTAATACATGAGCTTTTTTGTGGGGTCATTATGACTGAAATTCATAGAGAAAACAAAAACAATCATAACTTTTAAGAATATAACTTTCTGAAAGAGATTAAAATAAAATTATACATGAGCCTAATCATAGTGTCGTGATATATATAATATTTTTTCCTTCATTTCACAGGCCAACAGTAAAAAAAAAACATTGATGTGCTGAAAAGTAACAGCGAACGTCTCCTCAGAATGTCTTGAGGGATGTTGTTTTGAAGATGTGCAGAGACTCAGACACTCACCACTGTCAGCTCATTAGGGGAAGCTCCGTGCTGCAGCAGCAGGTTAATGATGTGTGTGTGACCCTGCTGAGCAGCCTGATGGAGAGGTGTGTATCCATTCTGAACATGAGAGGGAAACAGAGCTCTTATTATTATTATCTTTATTTCAGAACACCAGTGATAAGATAAACGCAGTTCCAAAGCCTCAAACACTTAACAAAATCACTTCTGTTTTATTTACCTTAGTTTTGGCGTTGACTTTCGCCTGGTTCTTCAGGAGAAAATGCACCATCTTCACATTGCCATAGTGACAGGCCACATGCAGCGGTGTATATCCCATCTGAAACATTACCACAGCACATGCATCATTCACACCTAAAAATACCACGATATAAAGAACAACTGACAATAGGCTGATGAATTATTATAAAATCGTGAACACACAATGGTGTGGCGATGATATAATCTACACTTACTGGCCACTTTATTAGGTACACCTTACTAGTACTGGGTTGGACCAACTTTTGCATTCTTAATCCTTCCTTCAGGGCGTAGATTTAACAAGGGGCTGGAAATATTCCTCTGAGATTTTGATCCATATTGACATGAGAGCATCACGCAGTTGATGCAGATTTGTTAGCTGCACATTCATGATGTGAATCTCTTGGTCCACCACATCCCAAAGGTGCTCTATTGGATTGAGGTCTGGTGACTGTGTAAGCCATTTGAGTACAGTGAACTCATTATTATGTTCAAGAAACCAGTCTGAGATGATTTGCACTTTATGAAATGGCATGTTATCCTGCTGGAAGTAGCCATCAGAAGATGGGTACACTGTGGTCATAAAGAGCTGGACATGATCAGCAACAATACTCAGGTAGGCTGTGGCGTTGACACGATGCTCAATTGTTACTAATGGGCCCAAAGTGTGCCAAGAAATATCCCCCATAGCATTACACCACCACCACCAGCCTGAACCGTTGATACAAGGCAGGATGGAACTGTGTTTTCATTTTATTGATGCAAAATTCTGACCCTACCATCCGCATGTGGTGGCAGAAATCGAGACTCATCAGACCAGGCAGACCAGACAATCTTCTATTGTCCAATTTTGGTGGACCTGTGCGAATTGTAGAGTTACTGAAGTTTGCCCTGCGCGCTTGCGTTTTTTTTTTAGTTACTTCTTTGGTTTGGTGCGTCAATCTTATAGATGCTATTATTCAAAAAAAGGTAATGATTCGCACTCAATTGCTTTGTACTGTTTTTATTTTACTTACATTTTACAGGTGATTAAAAGACAGACGTTTCGGCACAAAGCATTCCTCAGTGTGAATTGTAGCCTCAGTTTCCTGTTTTTAGCTGACAGGAGTGATACCTGGTGAGGTCTTCTGCTGCTGTAGCCCCTCTGCCTCAAGGTATAATGTGTTCGAGAGGCTCTTCTACATACCTCAGTTGTGACGAGTGGTTATTTGAGTTACTGTTGCCTTTCTATCAGCTGGAACCAGTCTGGTCATTCTCCTCTGACCTCTGGCATCAACAAGGCATTTGCGACCACAGAACTGCCGCTCACTTGATATTTTCTTTTTTTCGGACCATTCTCTGTAAACCCTAGAAATGGCTGTGCGTGAAAATCCCAGCAGAAATAGTCAGACCAGCCCGTCTGGCACCAACATCCATGGCACGTTTAAAGTCACTTAAATCATCTTTCTTCCCCATGCGGATGTCCGGTTTGAACTGCAGCAGATCATCTTGACCAGGTTTACATGTCTAAGTGCATTGAGTTGCTGCCATGTGATTGTCTGATTACAAATTTGCGTTAACAAGCAGTTGGACATGTGTACCTAATAAAGTGGCCAGTGAGTGTATTTCATTCTGTTTTTATAATGGTTACCTCAGTAAGGACCTTATTTAGATGTTGTATTTCTAAATATCTGACAGGTGTTATTTGTCCTCAACCTTATGTTTAGAGTACCGATGTGACAGTATGATATTCTGATATAAAACATTTCACATGAAGGTTGTAGCGATTACTTTGTTACTACATATATGTTATGTATTATTCTGTTGTTTATTTGAAAATGTGGGAGAACCATAATCTCTATTAACACACAATAAATAAATAAATAAATAACACAATACAATACAAAATTATTTGTATAGCACATTTAAAACACCCTCAGTCGACCAAAGTGCATATAGAGAGAATAGAGAGAGTGCATATATTTGTGTACTTGTAGTTAAAGTGTAAAGTCCGTCAGCTTAGGGATACTGAACTCTAATGCGGCCAAAACCTGCCTGGAACTACTTTAGCTGAAAAATCTAATCATTATGAAACATTCAACAGCCCCTTAATATAAATTCAAATTTGCTCTTACCTGCCTAAAAACTCAATGACGCCATATTATTAAGCCTTTTCACATACAGTATAAAAAATAGTCGGTCCCACTTTATATTAAGTGTCCTTAACTACTATGTACTTACATAAAAAATAAATACAATTTACTTACTGTGTTTATAATGTATTTGAGAACACTTGTGGTGCTTTTGAGTTGGGATAGGGGTTGGGTTATGGACAGGTTTGGTGGCATGGGTAGGTTTAAGGGTGGGTTAAGGTAAAAGGGATGGTCAACAGTGCATTTACAAATGTAATAACAAAAGTTAATTACAGATGTAATTACACACATGTATTTAATCAAGCATAAGTACATAGTAAATACATGTTTTTACACAATAAGTACATTATAACAAACTATTATTCATGTGTAAGTACATATTAGTTAAGGCCACAATATAAAGTGGGATCAAATAGTCATTGTAGATTTTAGAGGCACATAACATAAAAGTATCTAGTTCTTGTAGAAATGCTCTTGTTGTCTCTCAGTGGCTGTGCTCAGTGAGAGAGTATTTTCTGTGGGTCATTGTGTTTGTATTGATTCCTGTGTGCTGCTGTCTCTCAAACCGCCTGAGAGCTGCACTGAACGACCTTGAGCAGAGGCCAATCCATGTTTGCGTATTAACGACCAATGACAGGACTGAACACATATAGTGTGCCTATGTATATATCTACCCCAAAAAAACTGATTCATCCAGTAAGGAAACCTGTTTTAATAAGTCAATGGGTCATCCATTAGGATAATTAATCATTTAACATGTTGATTTCCTCCACCGTTACACTAAATTACTGTTGGTGTTTAATCATTAATATGTATTATCCTAGTTATTAATAATTAAAACATTTTGAATAATGAGAAATACCTTTTACTTTTCATATTTGCTTTGAACAAAATTATTCATAAAGAGAAAAAAGCAACTTGCATTTGTTTATTTGTACAATACCACAGTATCCACCAAAATAAAAAGCAGAACAACTGATTTCAACCCTGGTGATAATAATAAGAAATGTATTTTGAGCATCAAATCATCACATAATTATGATTTCTGAAGAATCGTGTGACAACCAGAGGAATACATTTTTTAAAAGTGCTTGTGAACATCTGTGTGTGTATTAGGAGTGTCAAAATTAATTGTTTCTTCGCTGCACCGCCATGCTGATGGGGACAATTCGATATCGGTTCATTAATAATCATAACCGGTTATTACGTACAGATGTCATTCATCTCCTATGTGCAATGTCGCAGTAGAATACTATGGCGAAGGAGGCGAGGGCGAGTAAATAACACACTCCTACTACTTAAAAGGGAGATAATTATGTACAGTTCAATTGCTTGTGAGTTTGATGAAAAGTCTTTCATTGACACTGAAGAAGGCACAGCACACGAGTCGCTATTTTACTACTAGGGAGAAATGCTGTAAAAATCCCTCCCTGCCTCTCTCTCTCATTTTGGACATTTGACCCGCTGGCGTGTTTGTGAGGTAACTTTTCCTTTCATCTTGGCTGTTAAAACGATACTTGTGGATCCAGACATGAGCGTGCCCGAGGTGCAATTTTTCTCCACTGCGTCTATTAAGGATTACCTGTGATTATCGCGTATTATGCGTATATAAACTGTAACCGCGGCTGTTCTTTCCGAATCACTCATTGGTGAACAGCGCTTTAATTTCTATGGTCAATCGCAGCCCTTTCTGTTGAACGGGTGAAGACAATGACCAATCATAGGGGTGTAATGCTGTATTTACACCAGACGCGGGAAGGAGTGTCAAGCGCGAGTGATTTACATGTTAAGTCAATGCAAACGCGTGAATAGATATCCTGCAGCGCGATACGATGGCAATGTTGAGGTGCGAATGGCACGGGGCGAATAGAGCATTTTGTGTGAATCGCTCGAATTAAAAAATCTGAACTTAATGGACATTTGCGCGGCGTTTACCAATCAGGAGCTTGCTCTTGTGGGGGTGGGATTGTGACGTAGCACCTGTTGTTGGTGCCCCAGGGGACATCCTCCAGCCGACACCGACAACAGTTAATCAAACTGAGTTTCTCAACCCGGGCTCATTGTGGAAACGTAGCCCCGCGGACGTTTCTGCGGACCGCGATTTACGTCCCGGGAGGTACGTATTCGAGCGTTTTTTTGTTTTCGCGCCTGCGCCGTTCTCGCACGAAAAGCCACCGGATCAAAAAAAAAAAAAAAAAAAGCAAAAGCCCCCGTCTTCGATTTCGACCGCGTTTTCGGATCCCGCCGCGTTCTCGCCCTTATTTTTCGGATTCCGTTTTTCGTCTTACCTGATTTCCGGAACCCGCCGTTCCCCGGACTCGATCCCGGTCGTCGTCCAACGCGGCCGGCTCCTCCTCCTCCGCGTCCGGGGCCTCCACTCCGCCGACGCAACGCTGTGAGCTAGGCGGACAAACTGATTGTGTCTGGAAAGCCCTCCACTCGGAGGCGAGCCGTCGGCCGGCGAGCGCGAAGAGGAGGGGCGGAGCGGCGCCACACCGCCCCGCAGCATTCGCTCGGAAAAAAAACAAACGCGGCCTTTACGTACCTCCGGCCACGTAAATCGCGGTCTCCAGAAACGTCCGCGGGGCTACGTTTCCAGAATGAGCTTGGGTTGGAGTTTCTGGAGGAGTTTACGAGCTCACAGAGCTGGATGCACCTCTGAGAGGATCTAGTGAACTCAGACACGGCCCTGAACGTATTGACGCTGTTTTTCAGCCTTCATAAAGTACATAAACACTGTATTTTCTTCATAAAATCCATGTTAGCCACTTAGCAATGAAGCTAGAGTCACCGGGCAGACAGAAGCTCTGTCCATAACGCGAATCCGCGTCTGTTCTGAAGTGAATTTGACACGTGAATGAAGAGGGGTTTGACGCGCGAATGAAGCGAGTAAACTCAAATGTTCACGCGGCTATTTATGTGCGAATAGCACGATTTATCCGTGCATTCCGCGTCTGGTGTGAACACAGCATAAGATCTCGTTTGACAGTGCTCAAAAAGCAAGCGGGATAATATGTACATTAGTTTATTTGCTTTACATGTCCATATTGTTCTGTGCATGTGTTGGAGTTTTGTTTGATACATTCAAAAAGAGTGTTTTCTTTGATCAGATCAAATTAAAGGTATAATTCATATTACAGCTCATCTTACTGCTTGTATTAAAGGACAAAATTGTATTACAAATAGTATATAAATGCTAATATATTTATAGTTTTTAATAAAAAAATATTCTTGTGTTGTGAAGAAAAAATCTAATCATTTATGGAAAGCATCGTCAATGCACCGTGATGCTCTGAGACATCGAATTGAACAGAATGGATAGCATGATAATCGTAACCGAACCAAACCGAACCATGAGACCAGTGTAGGTTCACACCTCTAGTGTGTATGTGTGTGTGGTTGTGCATGTGTGCAAGCTAAATTATACAGTTTGCAGTATAAAAATCATTTCGGTCAAAGAGAAGTCACCAATAAGACAAGTGTGTGTATGTGTTTGTGTGTTCAGTACCTTAGTCTCGGGGTCCACAGTGGCTCCATGATTAACCAGCACTTCAGATACATTGACCCTGTCCTCTTGAGCCGCCAGGTGAATAGGGGTCAGTCCACTCTGATACAGACAGTCATTAAAGTAATTAGTGATAGAACTGCACAGATGTGACACATCACGCAAACATCAGTCATTCATTCATCAGTAAATGGTCACAACTCTCCACTGAACAAGATAATAATAGTCTTAATTTGACAACCCTTAAAAATCACACGCAAAATATTTGAATTAAATAAGAGGGCGCATAACTTTGCCATTTCTCCAGTTCTGCAAGACTTTAAAACAGCAATATCACATACAAACATATTCTTTACATGTAGATATATTCTAAATACAGTAAGTGAGCTCCTGTTTCACCTTGTTTCCCAGACTGACGGCAGCTTCGCGGGCGAGCAGCAGTGTCACCATGTCCACATTGCCCTCCTGTGCTGCCAGATGCAGAGGACTGATGCCCTGCCGTGTGGCGGCGTTGGTATCGGCTCCGTACTCTAGCAGCGTGGTGGCGATCTCCATCTGGTTCTTCTTGGCAGCGATGTGCAGTGGAGTATAGCCATTCTAAAGAGGAAAACAAGGGATGGAAATCACCAAAAAAGAATATATTGGATAGCGGTTTCCTTTGGAATATCCTATGATTTTTTAAACCATGCGAACAATATGAAATGAATTAGGCAAAATGAAATAATTTAACACTGATTAATGCAGTTCAACCCAGTCTCATTATTGATACGTACCCCTTATACATTTCTGGAGATTGCGAAATATGTCCCCAGAGCTAAATTTTTTTTCAATTTGTGATTTCACGAATCCACCAGAGGCCGCTGTGTACGCTTTTTGAGATCTCAAATTTTGTTTGCGGGTGCCATTTGCGGCTGCTGTTCTTGCGTATATCCAGAGGCCAATGTCAAATGACCGATAACCCCACCCACACCCTTGCCTAAACCCAACCGATAGTGTTTTCAAAAGCACCGATTGACCCAATCACCCCCTTTCTTACACCCAATCAATAGTGTTTTCAAAAGCACAGATTGACTCGATCACTGCCTTCCCTAAACCCACAGATTTTTACCACGTTTTCAGACTTTACCACATTCTGACCCTGCTATTTACTGTACTTGTTGTCTGTTTGCTGAGTAAAACATATGCTGGATAAGTTGGCGACTGCAGAGGTTAAGCCGAAGAAAAATGAATGAATGAATGTATGTATTTGTAATTGTATACTATATATTATACTGGATAGTTTGACTGTAATTTAATTATTGTGCTTTACAATACAACAGGGAGTAGGTCAATATAATCCAGTCAAAATAGTCAAAATAATAGTTATTTTCTTAGTTCTTTACCATTTTTTATAAAAAAAAAAATGTTTTCTTTTTTTTTAATATCTCATATGGTATATAATGTACAGTATATGGTATATTTTACATCGTCATTTAAAGCTATTTCAGAGTAAATGCACTGAAAAATAGAGGCAGCATATAAATAGATTGATTCATATAAGTCAAATATAATATTATTATTTTGCATTACTGAACCAACTCACATTTATTAATTTACACCATTAAAATGTATGCATATGGGTTCAATCAAAAATGTTTGGACAACATTTTTAATTCTTAAAATAATAGCATCCTAAAATGATATAAATAATTAGTATTAACATAATCTAAAATATGATTTGATATCACTGAGCAAATATACATTGTAGATAAACAACAATTTTCGGGATGTTAAATAAAATAGAAATACCTCAACTGCAGAATTCTACTTTAAACTGTTAAATATATCATTAATTTAAACTTGTCATTTAAAATGTAACCCTAACATTTGGCATTATTATAATTATTAGAATATATAGGGCCCTAAAAAGTAATTTCATATTATTTTGTTTATCTAGAATTCAGAAAAATAAATAAATAAATTAATTAATTAATTTATGATTGAATAACTTTGTAATTATATAGTTATTTCTATTCATTTCTTATAACTATTTTTTTTTAGAAATGTACTGTGTATATATAGCTAAAGTCAGAATTATTAGCCCCCTGAATTAGTCCTCTTGTTAATTTTTTTTTTCCTTCAATTGCTGTTTAACAGAGAGATTTATTCAGCACATTTGTTCTGTAGACTATTGAAAAAAAAATAGGGGCTAATAATATTGTCCTTAAAATGGTGCCACTTTTATTAAAAAACTGCTTTTAATATAGTCGAAATGAAACAAATAAGACTTTCTCCAGAAGAAAAAATATTATCAAACACACTGTGAAAATTTCCTTGCTCTGTTAAACATAATTTGGGAAATATTTAAAAAGAAAAAGAGAAAATCAAACGGGGGCTAATAATTCTGACTTCAACTGTAAATGTACAGTGCTCAGCATATATGTGTACACCACTTACAGATCTATCTTTTAAATTCATATTTTTAAGAAGCTATACAATGTTATATATTTGTGCATATACATTAGCTCAGTCAGTACTGAAGCCAAATCTGGAGCTCATCTAACAAAATAGCTTACGATGACGGTCCAAAAACTAGTACACCCAAATTTATATTCATTCATTCATTCATTCATTTTCTTGTCGGCTTAGTCCCTTTATTAATCTGGGGTTGCCGCAGCGGCATGAACCGCCAACTTATCCAGCACGTTTTTCCACAGCAGATGCCCTTTCAGCCACAACCCATCTCTGGGAAACACCCACAAACAATCATTCACACACTCATACACTATGGACAATTTAGCCTACCCAATTCACCTGTACTGCATGTCTTTGGACTGTGGAGGAAACCGGAGCACCCGGAGGAAACCCATGCGAACGCAGGGAGAACATGCCAAATGTATATGTTATAGAAAAATATTCAATACAAGTTTTAAAAAGAGGAAAAATCAAGAGAAACAAAAATATTGAAAAAATGTATTTGAAATTTTGTAGGTTGTCATTTTTTTTGCAATATTTAGCTTTAATTTAATTATTATTATAATTATTAATTGTATTAACTTTCAATTTCTAAATGTTTGGTGACTAAAATATTATTTTAATAAATATATCTGTTTAATAATTCTTTTTTGTTAAAATGTACCAAAATACATTGCCTATATTCACTGAGAAAAAATATTAATTTTCAAAATGGGCTGTATTCAATTATGCAGAGCACTGTACTGTATATATTAGACTTTTTTCATGTCCAGCACTACACAGCATTGAACCACATGCTGCCAAACCACCAAAACCAAACTAAAACAATTTAAAAAAAGGAAGATTTATGGCATTTCCAAAACAGAAACATGTTGACAGCAGAGCTTTGCCGCTAACCTCACAGACTGACAGTGGAATGATTCCTGAAAGGTAGAGGGGAAAAAAAGCAGCCTGAAGAAAGAAAGAAAGATTTTGTTTCTTTAACAGCTAACAAACGCTGAGGTGTCAGCCAGTGAGGTCAATGGAGAGCGTTTCCATCCAAACTGCAAGTCAGTTAGTGTTCTCCACATGCCAGGTTTTGGCTGCTGATCGTTGATGAGGAACAAAAGCAGTATCTGGGTCACTGTGTTTGTTCAGGGTTTACACTAAGCCCTTTCAGGGTGGACAAAACAACTCCAAATAGTTCAAAAGCATAAACACGTGGACTAGCTGTTCCAAGTTCAAACGACACAAACAAAAAATCAATTGTCAGGTATACATTTAGAATTTTACTTACAGTTGAAGTCAAAATTATTATCCCTACTGAATTATTAGCCCCACTTTATATTTTTCCCCAATGTCTAATTTAATAATAACTTAACTCTTTCTAATAATTCTTTATTTTCTAATTCTAATAACTGATTTCTTTCATCTTTGCCATGATGACAATACATAATATTTTACTAGAAATTTTCAAGATGCTATATTCAGATTAAAGTGACATTTAAAGGCTTAACTAGGTTAATTAGGCAAGTCAAAGACTGGAGAATACATAAGACAAGTCACTCATATAGTTTTGAATGGAGAAAAGTGAAACGGTCAATTTGGCGAATAAAGCCCCGTCTACTAGTACAGGAGCCAATCAGGGATCGATATAGGCTGATGTTTCTTAGGGGGAGGAATGTGGAATTTGAAACACACTGGAATGTGGAATCTCAGTGAATGCTTGCTTCACAGACATAAGTAATATATCCACATAAAGCCTGTTTCACACTGCAAACGTGAGCGGCATGTGAGCAGAGCGTGTTTTTCGGCATCCATGTTAACATATTAGAGCTTTCATACCGCACACAGAAGCAGCGTGTCAGCACGAGGCATGAGCGTTGCTGAAGCAGCAGTGCCGCGATAGTTTCAGCGCTGGGTCTATTTTTGCTGCAGCTCATGCTCACTATAAGTGCCAGTGCATTGATAATGACCAAAACACATTGAATGACAGAAGAAATTTTACCCAATAAATGCATCAATAGTATCCACTGACTTATATATAGTCAATCAAATGAACTTAAACGATTAAAAACTGCAACAAAAATGTATTTAAGCCCGAACTACAAAACCAAATGTAAAATAACTTTAGTACTAGTTTTGCTTAGTAAGTTGCACACTAGTTTGATCATGTATAAATATCATTATAACTATACTGTATGAATATTATTATAAATAGGCCTACATCATGCTGACAATCAAAAACAAAATGACATGATACCACAGGCGATTGTCTTCTGAGTGCACCAGGCATGAATGACACTCATCATAGAGCTTGAGAAGCATACAGTACTGTATGATCTACATTATACGTCAAAAAAACTTGCAGGTTAATAAAACAGCACAGGAGGAGGTTACCATGGGCCTTTGTGCAGATGAAAAGTAAAACAAAAGTGTATTTATATATAGTAGTGCTGTCAAAATTAGCGCGGTAACGCATGTGATTAATTTTAAATATTCAACACGTTAAAAAAAAACTACGCAAATAACGCTGTTGCAGTTTTTTTTTTTTCTCTGCAGTGGCCGACCTGTGTTTAGGGACGGTGCGTGCATAGAGGCGACCTAGGCGGCTGTCTTAAGCAGGTCGCACACCAGAAGCGCCGCTCGGCGCCGCGCCACGCAGCGCCATGTATTTTAGAATTCTAAACATAGGTTTCTATCAGGATACACACACCGGCGCCCACCCACAACTCAGGAAGCAGTTAATTTTTCAGCCGCGCCACAGAGCGCCATCTGATTAGTTTCATGTTAAAAATCATTCGAATGTGCGCGTCTGGTGTGCGATACTTTAACCTGTCATGTGCCCGCCGTGTCGCGGCGCCGAGCGGTGCTTCTGGTGTGCGACCTGCTTTAGGCAGCAGAATAGTAAGCGAACCCCCCGGTCTTCACTTTCATCCGCTACACTCACCCCTCTCCCTCACGGCCCTCGCTTTCATCAGCAAACCGGTCACTTTCTTTTACACTTTGATACACTTTCAGGTTGAAAAGTGTATAAGACCTAAATCTTTTTATAATTAAGAGTTTACAGGCTACCTCGTGACATAATTATGTGTATAGATACATAGGTAGTTCTTTTATCTGTCGTATCTTTAGTTTGTAAACCGTATTATGGCGTATTTCCGTCTTTGACCCGCTGCAAAGTGCGCATGCACAAGAATAAACGTGCTCAAATGCGCATGAGCGGCTGCGATTGCATCACTCTGAAACTGCATCATGTCTGCAGCCAGACTCTGTTAAAATGACTTGCCTTAACGGGACTTTGGGTAAGTTAGGGTAATTAGGCAAGTAATTGTATACTGTTAAAAATATTTGTTCTGTAGACAATGGGGAAAACGGGGGCTAATAATATTGACTTTAAAACGGTTTAAAATTTTTTTTTTTTACTTTTATTCTAGCCAAAATAAAACAACTAAAACTTTCTCTAGAAGAAAAAATATTATAGGAAATACTATGAAAAATTTAATCGCTCCATTAAATATAATTTGCAAAATATTTGAAAAATCTAAATAAATTTAGAGGAGGGCAAATAATTTTGACTTCAATTGTATATGTCATTCTAAATATGCTTATCACAGTGTTATTATTATGATTTTATAACATTATTTGCTATTTTATAAAATTATTATCTATTTTTAAACAAGTATTAACACAAAATGGTCCACTTTTTTTCCTGTGACGATTTGAATTTAAAGTTATGAGAACATTCACTGTTATCTGGGTAACTGCTTCTGTAGGCAGTAGACAGCGAGGCGGCTTTCTAAGTTTCATAACAGAAACTGCTTTTTTTGTCAGATGATTCCAGGCTGAGGTCACAATTTGCCACTAGCTGAAGCTTGATGAAAGCGTTTAATCTTGTTTGGAGTCGCAATCATTTCCTGCACAGGTCTCAGAACTGACTGGCAGATCAGAGAGAAATCATGACAAGTCCCAGAGGCTGTCTTTGAGTGAGTGAAAATGCTAATTATCAAAGCTATAATTCACCCAAGAATATCACTTTATTTGTGGCTTTCTTTTTTACAGGGGAAGATGTTTTGAAAAGTGGTCAAGCTGCACTTTCCCTTACTAGTGTGTATTTATTTTTATTTATTTATTAATTTAAGTGGATTGAACATAAAACATATAAATTGTTCCAAAATATTACAAGATTTGTGTTGTTTCAGCTCATTTTAAATAATTAAAAAAATGTTGGTGTGAATTGGGTTGTCTATAAATTAATATAGAACTAATAAAAAAACTGATTAATTGTTTTTTTGTTGTTGTTTTTTGGTAAGAGAAAAATACTGTCTGTGGTAAACAATTCGCTCTAAAACATAAATTAGACACGCCTATAGTAAAAAACACTAATATTTAAAGCTATAATTCAACCAAGAATGAAAGTTTATTTGTGGCTTTCTTTTTTATCGGAGAAGATATTTCAAAGAAAAGTCAAGCTGCACTTTTCCTTAGTGGAGTGTGATTAGTTATTGATTGATTTATACTTAACAAATTGTAAGTGGATTGAACATAAAACAAATACACTGTCCCAAAATATTACATGATTTGTGCTGTTTCAGCTCAGTTTAAACAATTAAAACAATTTTAAAAATGTTTTGGTGTGAATTGGGTTGGGTATTCTATCAGAATAGATTTTAAAGTATTATTACTTGTCTAAAAATCACTAAATGGCCTAGGACCTCAATACATTACAGACATGATGACTGAATACAAAACTAATGGATCCCTTAGATGTTTAGGATCAAGTAAATTAGAATTTCCAAGAGTTCAGTCAAAGCAGGGTGAATCGGCCTTCAGCTATTACCCCCCCCTCCTCCTTCCAGCTTCCAGAAATGATCAGATGAGCTCCAACATTATGCACATTCAAATCAAGACTTAAACCACATCTGTTTAGCAGTGCCTTTACTGAATGAGCACTGTGCTACGTCCCACAGATCGCAATTGTGTCTTTCTTTTCATTTTCATCCTTTTAAAACTTGTTTTATTACGTTTGATCAGTTTTTTTACAATTATAAAGGTTTTTCACCGTTATTAGATAGGACAGTGGAGGAAAGACAGGAAAGCAATTGGGAGCAAAGAGAGGGGAAGGATCGGCACAGGACCTCGAGCTGGGAATCAAACTTGGGTAGCTGTGAGCACCATGGTGCCATATGTCGGCGCACTTAACCACTAGGCTATTGGCACCGACATTTGATCTGTTTTTAATCATTTTTATTCTTTGTTCATACTTGTTTTTTTATTCCTATTTATGTAAAGCACTTTTAATTACCATTGTGTATGAAATGTGCCATTTAAATAAACTTGCCTTGTCTTGTTTATGAATAAATAACTTTTTATTTATGGGTGAACTGTACCTTTAAGTGTTTCAAAACAACATCAACAACTGAAGCGCATCAGTTTTGGAGAACTTCCTTTTTTTCAAAGTGATAAAATTGTTCAATTTTACTGTCCTTTGTGGCTTCAGTGGGTGGACTAGAAGTAATATGACGAGAATGATCAAGAATGTGGGGTGGAGGTGGTTTTGTATGCAGCCTTGGCCTTGTTTCTTCATTTCTGTATATCCAGTTGAAGTCAGAATGACAAGCCCTCCTGAATTATTACCCCCCTCCCCTGTATATTTTCCCCCAATTTCCCCTAAGTTTTATTAACTAACTCCTTATAACTGATCTATTTTATCTTTGGCACAATGACAGTAGATAATATTTTACTATATATTTTTTCAAGACACTAGAATTCAGCTTAATGTACAATTTAAAGACTTAACTAGGTAAATTAGGCAAGCTTTTATTCTAGTCAAAATAAAACAAATCAGACTTTCCCTAGAAGAAAAAATATAGTCAGAAATACTGTGAAAATTTTCTGTTAAACATCATTTAGGAAATATATAAAAAAAGAAAAAAAAATCACAGAAGGGTGAATAATTTTGACTTTAACTGTATGTGGTTGAGTTTGCGTGTGGTCGTTTTGTGATACCTTTGCTGCTGCATGTGGAGACGCTCCTTGGTCCAACAGAAGAAGAGCCACTTTCTGGTTATCATAGTGTGCAGCAACATGCAGTGGTGTTAGTCCACTCTAAAAGCACACACACACACATAAACATACAGCTATTATTGGACAAGTGCTCAAACAGGGGGGCGTGTGTGTAACAGGTGCTCTCATAAATCAATCAGTGATTCGATAAAGAGAATAAAATTAGACACAACACATTTGTGAATGAAACTTCTGACGCTTTTTCCAGAGATGGGTTGCGGCTGGAAGGGCATCCGCTGCGTAAAAACTTGCTGGATAAGTTGGTGGTTCATTCCGCTGTGGTGACCCCAGATTAATAAAGGGACTAAGCCGACAAGAAAATGAATGAATGAACTTCTGACGCTGAAGAGGCCGTTTTTATTTTAAAACGTTGCTGCTCCGTGTTAGTATGGACGGGGGAAACGGAGACATCTGAAAACGGAGGCAGGGCTGCAGACATTCGCCTATCTGATTGAGGCTTTTACCTCAATATTAAGGGGCTGTCCCAGAATGTAATTTTAAGGCCTGTTTTTAGAAAACATGATACAAGGTGAATTTTCATTCTGATATTAGCAACTTAACAGACACTAAGGGCCCTATCATACACCCGGCGCAGTGTGGCGCAAGGCGTGGCGCAGTAGTCTTTTGGTAGTTTCAGCTTGGCCCAAGAGTTGTTTTGAGGCGTTGCGCTACGCTGTTTAAATAGCAGTTGCATTAGCGCTCATTTGTGCACCCATAGGCGTTTTGGTCTAAAAAGGAAGGCGTTCTGAGGTGGACCGCTGGTGCGTCGCTATTTTAAGAAACTATAATAGATTTTTCATTAGACCAAAACTAACACGGTCTAAACTCCGCCGCAGAGTTGCGCCTCGCTTACACACTGCTTAATACACACAAGAGAGCAATAGGCAAATATCTTTACATATGAAAAAATTTAAATATTAAGGATATATATAGGATATGAAAAGAATAGATATAGGTTATAAATATAAAGGATTAAAATATTACAAAACATATTATTTTCTAGCCTACATAAATATGAAAAATCACTGCTTTTATGCCTTCTTCATCTCGGGAGGCTTTTTCAGTTCATTCATAACAATTTGCTTTTGTATAATGTTATTATTATTAGCAATATTATTTATTATATCCATATTTATATTTGTTTTATTAAAAACAAGCTTAGATTTGCCCATATGTCAGGTTTTAGACCATATGGGGCATGGCAGGTGTATTTGGAAATAACTCAGTATTTTGAGCACACTTTGTTATTATTGTTCATTTATTCGTTTGCTAGAAATTAGAACTGAATTTAGAAATAGTTTTGAAACAAATCTTTGAGCTTAACAAACGAAATTAATTATTTATAGACTAATTGATGTCTGTGCGTAAAGGTTTCCCTATCCAAGAGCGACTGTGAAAGTAGTTCCATTATCTCTCATTCTCACGCAGTAGATGCTCTGTTTAACAGTTTTCTGTTAAAAAACTGTTAACTGTTAACTGTTTGCTTGTGAAATGCTCATTTTTTCCACTTAGACTTACTTTGCCACCTGTAAATAGCGAATGCGCTCTTGGCGCGACGCAGCTGGCTCTTAAAGGTAATGGGAGGTGAGACTCTAATTGGTTTATTCTCGAAACACACCTATAACTCATTAAGAAAATTAACTCAACCCTTTTAGCCCATGCACCTTGGCGCAAAGCGGATTTTCCTGTCTGTAAATTAGCAAAAATGCGTTCTGACACACCCTGAAAGAGTTTGCGCCCTGCGTTTTGCGCTCTGCGCATGGACCGTCAAAATAGAGCCCTAAAAATGTTAAGGCATCGTGTAGCTGCATATTTATAACTAATGCATAAATTACATGTATTATGTGGTTACAAAAATTAATAAATAAATATTTGCGTTCAGCCAAAACGATTTACTTGAGAACAAGTAATAGATTCAAAAGACCAAAATCGGGAAATATGTGGTTAGATATAGACAACAAGATGAATTAAATATCCCGTTTAACAACTATAGTGAGATTAGATCCAGCGGTAGATCCTTGAGGAACTGTCCAACATGCACAGCTCTCACCTGGGGTTCTATGCTCAAAGGCTGACTGGCTGGAGCTCAGACGCGCACATACGCTGCAGCACATGCCAGAGTGTGTGTGTGTGTGGTCACGTGATGTGCATTTTCCGCTGTACAGTGTGGACGGGGAGCTGTTCAGAAATGCCTGAGTGCATGTGGATCGTTTTCATTCTAAAACATTGTTTTAAAACTAAAACGTATTAGTGTAAATGGGGCCTGAGAAATGAGGTGATGCTGTAATAGCATAATAAAGGCACTTTAAAGGTCATAAACCTACAATCATTAGTGCAAATGGAGATTTTTATAGTACCTTTCCAGCTGCGTCAGGCGGTGCTCGCTTCTGTAGCAGTAAGTTAGCAACTTCCATCTTCCCGTATTTGGCTGCAACATGCAGTGGAGTGAATCCCTTCTGCAAAGACAAGCAGTGCGCACTTAGGAAAAACAAACAAACAATAAAAAACCATGCACATTGTATTAAAACATACACATTAAAAGAGTTCATTAATTAATAAACATACCCACGAAACAAGACAACATTTCTGTATGTTTTGGAAACTATTCGTTTGGGGTGGGGTTTACAATAGTTGCACAAGTTTCCTTCTGTTAAGTAACACTAAAATACATACTGTACAGTACTAGCCCTTCCGTCCGGCTAATGATGAAAGCATTGCTGAAACTGATCCTGTTTTACACAAGAATAACTGTTCAAACATGAGAGCGCTCAGACAATGATGTACAATCAAATGAATAGACAAGCTCCAAAGAATTAATGCACGAGTATTTAAAAAGACACATCAACAGAGAAATATATCGGTATGTACATACAGTGCATGAAAATGTTTTAACTAAAGGCCAAGCTTATTTTTGGGAGAATTTTTATACCATTTTACTATTATTTCGCAGCTATTTCCTCTCAAAAAAAAAAAAAAAAGATATACAATCGCCGGCCACTTTATTAGGTACAGCTTACTAGTACCGGGTTGGACCCCCTTGTGCCTTCAGAACTGCCTTAATCCTTCGTGGCATAGATTCAACAAGGTACTGGAAATATTTCTCAGATATTTTAGTCCATTTTGACATGATAGCATCATGATGTTGCTGCAGATTTTTCAGCTGCACATCTATGATGCGAATCTACAATTCCACCACATCCCAAAGGTGCTCTATTGAATTGAGATCTGGTGACTGTTGAGGCTTTTATTATACTTTTTAAACACAGTAATAAAGTAAAAAAAATAAATAAATGAATAAATTTGTTTGCTAATAGAAATAATTTGGGAATACTTTTTAACAAACATGTATTTTAATATATTTTTGCTTCTTTATTATAGTATTTAAAGTACTACTACTACTACTACTACTACTATTATTACTACTACTACTACTACTACTACTACTACTACTACTACTACTACTACTACTACTACTACTACTACTACTACTACTACTACTACTACTACTACTACTACTACTACTACTACTACTACTACTACTACTACATGGCCACAGCCATATCACCTTTCAGCCCAAGACAGGTTACTCACTGATGCTAAGCAGGGCTGAGCCTGATCAGTACCTGGATAGGAGACCACATGGGAAAACTAGTTTGCTGTTGGAAGTGGTGTTAGTGAGATCAACAGGGGGTGCTCAACCTGGTGTCTGTGCCTAAATACCCCAACTATTTCAACTTACACTAACCCCAACCACAACTTAACAGTCTACCTCAAATCTAATGAGAAGTAGTTGGCATGTAGATGCAATGTAACTTAAATTCAACAAACGGACCATCAAAATAAAGTGTGACCAAATAATTATTTATATATAAATACTTTTAAAGATTATTTTCCCTCCAAATTCAAAAACTGTAATGTAATGAAAAATACTGAACATGATCAAACATAAATAAATAAAACATATATATAATTATTATATTATTACACTTTAATTATATATTATAGATAGCATATTATAATATAATGAAGCCTTTTGTGTATAAGCATTTTCTATAAGATTTTGTTTTATATGATAAAACTAATTCAAAATATAATTAATTATTCTCATATTGATATGGAATATGACTTTGTTTGACTAAAATTACTGTAAACTTTTCTCCTTCCTTTATTTTATTCTTAAACCTGAATGTTTTTATGCAGCATTCATAAAACCGGGAAAAGTGGACATTTAGTTTTTTTTGGGATTGCAGTTTCCATTTGAACTCATGAAGGCCAGCATACCAAATCCCTTACTAGCCTGAACAATTATTACAGACAGAGAACAAACATATCCAGTGGCGGCTGTGTTATCATAGGGAAACTCTGCTCTCTGGTGAATGGAGTCGTGGAAAACACCATGCATTCATTGTCCTTCCTCAGCAGATTCTCACGCTGTAACACTTGGCAGCCGCACACTGATGTTTGTCCAGTCATTTTATGTCTATCACAATCACACAGCAGGACACCGGGGGAATCTTACACTCCTACAGCTAGAAAAATAGCTGCTAATAATCTATTTGGTCACGGTACAGATTCAAGTTTTTGGTAGGAATTCAGATATATCTTAAAGGTGCGATGAAATTATACTTTTTTTTGGATGTTAGTATTAGTATTGTTAGTTTTTAGGATATCTATAATCTAGTGTGCTTTAAAACAGTGACAAATTTTGTGTTGAAGATATAAAACTAATATAAACATGTAAAGCTTGTAGTTTGTCACTTCCACCAAAATGGATCAACGGTTTTCTTCATATGACCTTATAATTCAGTTTCTCGTTAAATCATGACCAATCAAATGCTCTTTATCTGACATGCCCCGCCCCCTTCAAGACGCTTCTCATTTGCTTTTCATTTGATGCGTTTGAGCTCAACCACTCTCACTGGCAGAGCGGAGATAAAAACAAAACGCTATTGGCTGCTTTTTAAAAAGGGGAGGGGCTACACCATGTCCTGCCCTCTCTTCGTGTTGGGGTTGAGATTGCGTCAAACATCAAATAAAAATTCGCATTTCTAAACATTTCATGGATCTTTAAATACATCAAATTAGGCAAATCAATAAATTAAAAACATCTGAAGTATAGTTGGGCGACACGGTAGCTCAGCGGTTAGCAAGAAGGTCACTGGTTTGAGTGAATTGAATAAACTAAATTGTCTGTAGTGTATGTGTGTGAATGAGTGTGTATGGATGTTTCCCAATGATAGGTTGCAACACCTCAAAATGACCCTTGCGCCAAGCTTAAAGTAGCAAAAGACTATTGCGCCGCGCCTTGCGCCACATTGCGCCGGGTGTATGATAGGGCCCTGTATTTCTGTAACAAAATATAAAACATTCAAAGTATTTTAAATAGCCACTTAAGAGCTAAAAATGTGCTGTCCACGTATGTGAACTCTCAGGCCCTAGGAGGTTATAAGCTTGTTGAGAAATGAGGACGTCACCAATGTCTTTATATTTCACCTCCTTTTTGTAATACCTGTGTCATACCCATGTCATTATAAAGATTTGTGTCCTGACATGTCACAAAAACACAAACACACACGCACGCACGCACACACACACAAAACACAAGCACAAAGATACACAGACAAACAAAAACACAAAGCCGCATACACAAGGACACAAACACACAAACAGACTTAAGCACTCACAAACACAAAAGCACACACACAAAGATACACAAGCACAAACATTAACATAAACAAACACAAAGCCGTATACAAAAAGAAACAAACACACTCAAAGACACAAACACACACAAAGACACTCACAAACACATCAATATATGAATATACACACAAAACACACAGACACACGCAAAGACACACACACACAAAGATAAACAAAACACAAACAATAACACACACAAACAGAAAGCCGCATACACAAAGACACAAAGGCACAAACACACATACACAACAACATATATATACACACACACACACACACACACACACACACACACACACACACACACACACACACATATACACACACACACACACACACACACACAGACACACAATGACACAAAGACATACACAAACACTCACAAAGATACACAAACACACAAACATTTACACAAAAACACAAAGCCGTATATGCACAAGCACACACATAAACACATCAATATATAAACATAGACATATACACACAATGACACAAAGAAACATGCAAAGACACACACAGACACACACACACACAAAACTGCACTGCACACAAAAAGGCACAAACACACATGCATAAACACGACAATATATCTATATACGACTAATGCCGAGTTCAGACTGCATGATTTTCAAAGGAGTTGTGTCACAGATGTTTTCACACTGCATGACTATCTGGGCTAGCATTTCGTCGCTGCTTTGTTTACACTGCAAGATGGATCGGCGACAGGGACTTTCACATTGCATGACTTTACTATAGGAAGAATCGCCGACAACTTCGTCCAAACTACGTCTCACAGCCAAAAACACGTTGTATATCTTTTGTTATTAACTACATAATGAGAAAGAAGCCTTTAATGGGGTAGAACATGTACATGTTTGCTCACCTGGGTTTAAAGGGAATTAGCCATTTCTCCTCAACGTTGATAATAAACAAATTTCTTTCTGTATGAAACGTCAAACAGACACTAGTTTTTTCTCCATTTCGTGGCTCCAAATAAACCGAATAAGAGCGCTTTTAACATCTCCCCCAGCCTCCCGCTGACCTGCAGCAAGTATACACACAAAGGCACAAACAAGTGAAAGCTGCTCTCTCATTGGCTGTAGGCGATGATTGATATTATTTTTAGTCAAAACTCAATTCACACTGCATGATTTGAATCGCCGACAGCTCCAGATATTTAGCACGCCAAATATCTCACAGGCATCGGCGACTCATCGGCGATTCTCTCAGATCGCGTCTTTGATAGTTCATACTGTGTGATTGTCACTCACATGATTTCAGGTATTTGTCGACGATTTCTTAAAACCTGTCGGCGAGCCAAAATCGGGGCTAAAATCATGCAGTCTGAACTAGGCATAAGTCAAAGGCAAAATGAAGGGATGTTTAAAATATCTACACTGCTTTTGGAAGACCACATCACTCAATATGAAAAAACAGCATTTATTACAGACAACAATTTGTCTATTACAGAATTGTTAAGTAGTTTTAGTAGAAATTTCTACTAAAACTAATTGAACTAATATGACAATATTAACTACTGTAAATGGTTATTTTAGAGCATCAAACACAAAAAGGTTCCATGTTTTCATTTACTTTTATATTCATTTTTAAACAAAACAATACCAATTAAAAAAGCAATCTTTTATAAAATAACCATGAGTTTTCAATCACAACAGCATTTCTTATTCTGACCAACTGTTACTGTCAAAAAGTAGATTTATTTTAAATTAAAAAGAAAACGTATTATATCTTTCTAAAGTAACACACACACACACACACACACACACACACACACACACACACACACACACACACACACACACACACACACACACACACACACACAGTTGAAATCAGAAGTTTACATACACTCTAAAAAAAGGAACAACCATTTTTTTTTAATGTCTGATGGTAAATCATACTAAACGTTAACTATTTTAGGTCCGTTAGGATTACCTAAATGATTTACATTTGCTAAATGCCAAAACAATGAGAGAATTTATTTTGAGAATTAAAAGTTTACAGACATTTCCTTGTTTTTTTTTTTTTTTAGCTTTGCTTTTAAACTGTAGAACTTTGGTCAAATGTTTTGGGTATGCTGCTGCATCCATACTTCACAGTTGGGATGGTGTCCCTAGGCTTGTAAGCTTTCCCCTTTGTCCTAAAAATGTAACACTGGTCATTATGGCCAAACAGTTCAATCTTAGTTTCATCAGACCGCAGGACATGTCTCCAAAAATGATTGTTTTCCCAGAGTAATTTAGCTAACTGTAATCTGGCTTTGTTGTTGATTCTGGCTTGTTGATTTTCCCATGTTGTCACAAAAGGAAGCAGTGTGTTTGAGGTTTTCCTTAAATACTATTCTACAGAACAGCCTACAGTTAACTCAAATGCTGTCAATTAGCCAATCAGAAACTTCCAAAACCTTGACATCATCATCTGAGCTTTTTCAGAGGCACAATAATCTCATTGTATGTAAACTTGACTTTCAAGAAAAGTTAAAACAATTTCTCAAAAAATATCTCTCATTGTTCTGCTATTAAGCATAACAGAAACAAATTTGATAATCCTAATTTACCTAAAAGAGAATAAAGATTAGTCACATTAACATCTGACTTTTTTTTAAAATGGTTATGTGCCTTTTTATATAGAGTATGAACACTTTTGGCTTCAACTGTATATATATATTATCGTACTTTATAAATAATATTGTAAATGAACTACATCAATTTAGAGATTTGTTTAGTGATTTTGTCATTCATTATTTTAATTGGTTTTGCTTTTTTCTGCATGTTTCGTGTAGTTATTTTATATTATTTTAATAGTATTGTAGTTTAATAAATATTCTGAATGAACTACATCAATTTATAGATTAATTTAGTCATTTTCTCATTCACTTTCATCATTTTAATGGGTTTAGTTTTTTCTGCAAATTACATGTGTATTTACTTTGATAATTTTACTGTTTAAATATTATTATACTTTAATATTCTGAATAAACGATCTTAATTTATAGATTCATTTATTATTTTTGTCATTTTAACAGGTTTTGCTCTTTACGTGTGTCTTCATGTGTAGTTATTTTATAGCTATTATTTCAATATTATCGTACTTTAATGAATATTCTGAATGAACTCTCAATTACAGATTTGTTTAGTGATTTTGTCATTCACTTTTATTATTTTAACTGATTTTGCTTTTAAATGTTTTTCATTATTACAGCCCATGAAAACAGTTCATGTCTTTATTTCTACAATACTTATGTAAGATAAAAACTATTATGTGTGTAAGACGAACCATGCTTATAACACTCAATAACACTCAGAGATCATTCAGCATTTGCACAGTTTTATTTACAGGAGGAATGTGCAGTGGGTTCAGGGGGAGTTGGAGATGTAGGAGAGGGATCAACTGTAGATCTGGTTGTGTTTGCTGATCCATAGGTGCTTTAGTATCAGATCATTCACGTAGTAATGATACAGCACCTCTCTATCTCTCTTCTCCATCTCCTTCAGGAGTTTCCTCTCCGCCTTTTTCTTTGCCTTCTCCTCGGCCCACAGAGACAGAAGCTGTGCCACTTTTCTGAACTTTGGCTTCTTGTGCTGAATACCTGGAGATGCCATGGAGAACTGAGCGGTCGACTCTTGTCCGGCAAAGTCTCCAGCTTCAATGACGTCCATCTCCTCCTCCATTATGTCACTTGACGAATATTTCTCCTCTTTCTCATCCTCCTCCTCCTCCCAAGCAACCATCCGTCTGATAGGATGACGAACTGGAGAGCAGCGGGAGAATTCCTCATTAGATGAAGCACATGCTCCAGGCAGAGCGGCAGCATCATGAGTGTCAGGAAACATACTCGGAAGAGCTTTTCGTCTTGTAGGAGGACGAACTGGAGAGCAATGACGGGAGAAATCGTCACGTGATGAAGGACACACTCCAGGCAGAACGACAGCATCATGAGTGTCAGGAAACACACTCAGAAGAGCTGCTCGTCTTGTAGAAGGACCATCAGGAGACACCATGGAGAACTGAGAGGTAGACTCTCCAGCTTCACTGAGGTCCTCCTCGCTTTGATGGAGATCCATCACTTTGCTCATCCAGGATTCCTCCTCCTTTTCCTCCCAAGCAATCAGTGGTCTCAATGGTGGGGGAGACCTGCAGGCTTGGATCTCCTCAAACTCCTTCTCCTCGTCCTCAGTGTTGAGGAACAAGATTTCTGGAGGAGATGCAGAGCACACCTGAGGCTTTACTGGACTCAGAGGAGCAGCTCGTCTGGTAGGAGGACGTACTGAGGAGCAGTGGTAGGAGACCAGCTCATCTGGAGACTCTGGCAGCGACTGAATGTGAGTGGCTGGAAGAGTGAAGTCTCCAGAGGCGCCTGGAAGCTCAGGTAGGTCATCAACAGGCTTCAGGACAGAAGGTTTGACAGGAGTCAGCAGTGGTTTGGCTTTCACCAGAAGAGGCTTTCGCTCCTTCGGCTTTCTTCTGAGACATTTGATCCTGCACTTTTTGACATTCTCAGTGCAGTCGATGGCCTCGTTCTCTGCATGTTTCTCAACCGCCACCAGTTCTTGTGGAGCACACTTCTGTGTCTCCGTATCACGCAAGAAAGGTGTAAAACGGCCAAAAAGCTTTCGAATTGCTCTGTTGAACACTGCCATCGTGAAAAACGAAAGGCCGAAAATCAATTGAATAAGCAGGAAAAGTAGCTGTGGATAACTGTAAACTCCTCAAACACCAACAGAAGGTCAGATTTAGAACTGCACTTTCTGCCAGAGCAGAATTCTAAAGATGACATCATAACTGAACTCAGAGAGAAGCAGCAAACACACACATGTTTAGACACACAAAAACACACACACAAACACACGTTTGTTTTTGTGAAAAGTGGGTACATTACATAGGTTTTCATTAATTTTATACACTGTAAACTCTAATGTTGTCTTTACTTAAATAACTAAGTTAACTGAACATTACTTAAAATGTAGCATTTTGGTCCTGTCACCTACAAATATGAGTTTATTTAATTTATATACAATGAAAATGCATAAACTTAAGATTTTAAGTATAGTAAGCTCAAAATCACAATTAATCCTTTGAAAAAATAGGTTGTTTTTAATGTAGTCTTGACAGTAAAATTCTAATATGTGCAACCTTTAAGTGCAAGGTCTTTATTTTTTACAGAAATCAAGACTTCATGTATAATTATTGACCATAATGGAAATAAATGGCTACTTTAAAAAAAAAAATCATATATTATTACACACAGAGACACACATCGATTCAATAAACAATCTTTAACAATCATTAAATGTTGTTGTTTAAAATGTTTGACACAGGTTTCATTATGGTTTATACATAAGTGTAGAGGGAACAGTGCAGACAGAACTAGTTTTATTCATTCCATCATAATGTAGGTTTACTGTCATTTTTTCTCACGGCACATTCCCATAGAGAAAGCTGATATATGACATGATATATGGCAACATATGCAAATTACAATTGGATTCCACATACAGTATATAAAATGTTATAATAATCAATAATTTGTCAAAATAGTGCAAAGATCACTGTTTTTTCAACCACATCATATATATATATATATATATATATATATATATATATATATATATATATATATATATATATAAATATATTTTTTCAACACATTTCTAAACATAATAGTTTTAATAACTCATTTCTAATAACTGATTTATTTTATCTTTGCCATGACGACAGTAAACAATATTTTACTAGATATTTTTCAAGGCACTTCTATACAGCTTAAAGTGACATTTAAAGGCTTAACTAGGTTCATTAGGTTAACTAGGCAGGTTAGGGTAATTAGGCAAGTTATTAAAGATGGTTTGTTCTGTAGACTATCGAGAAAAGAATAGAGCTTAAAGGGGCTAATAATTTAGTCCCTAAAATGGTGTTTAAACATTTAAAAACTAGCCGAAATAAAACAAATAAGACTTTCTCCAGAAGAAAAAATATCTGACATACTGTGAAAATTTCCTTGCTCTGTTAAACATCATTTGGAAAATATTTAAAAAAGAAGAAAAAAAAATTAAAGGGGGTTAATATTTCTGACTTAAACTGTGTGTACATATTTTAAAGTCTAATAGAATTACTAATAAGATCTAATAGAAAAAATGTCAATATTTTGACAGGTATGACATATTTTATATACAGTATGTAAAATTCATATGAACAATTATGTCACATATTTAATTTGCATATATTTTCATATATCGGATTTCTATTTTGGGATCTGTGGTTCCATCAGTCTGGTCTTGTGGATTTAGTCACAGGATCTCCTCTACATCACAGTGGTGTTTTCATTACTCAAAAATCTTGGAAGGAACCTTTTGTCAATGTGAATCCATTGATCTGCTATGATCGGGCTTTCTTACATACAGTACAGTAATGTCAAATATGCAAACATTGTCTGTAAAAGTGGTACATGGAACAAGGAAACCATAAATATGAAATAAGGATGAATAAAGATGAAATCTATAGATAATGTAGTCCAGTTGGGTCATCTACTGTGGTAACTGATGTCATTTGATCTACAGTATCGTGAAACTTTCATCATCTAAACGTAACAATGTACAGCAGTTTCTACGCATCAAGTAATGTAAAAGCAATGCAGCAGTTATTTATCATTTTGAATGCTTGTATCAATTGATAATATCATCATGTTAAGTAAATGAATACACAGTTATTTTAAATGTAATGTTTGAGTCGCATTTTGAAATGGGATCAGTTTGATGTTTAACTGTGTTATATTGAAAAGGTGATCTTAGTTCAATGAACACAGTATATTTGACGTGTGTGTATCATATCCAAGCATTTGAAAAAGGAGTTAAAGGGCACCTAGGTTACCCCCTCAGATTTAATATAAGTCTTTTGTGTCTTCAGAATGTGTTTGTAAAGTGTCAGCTTAAAACACCCATCAGATTTTTTATTATACCTTTTATACCATTTTGCATCAGGTAGTGGTTTTGTTGTTCTGCGCCTTTAACCCTCTCAGACTCAAATCAATTTTTAGAAACAGGAAAAATCTGATATTTAGGGAAAATAATCAAATGGGGTAGTACAATAGAATTCTGACTTTTTATTTTAGAGAGACCTTCACATGCAAGGGGTCCTGGGATGTTGCAGTTTTGCTCAGTGTGGTAATTAGACACTGACGACTGTATATGATATGAACAATAACTTATATTTATATAACTAACTATAAAATAACTTTTATATACAACTTTTCAAACAATGTAACAAATTGCTTTTCAGTGGCAGAACAACAGCAAAAACAATATGGGATCCAAATCCAATATCGCAAATCCTCATTCACTCCAAGTCACTTTGTCATGTGGCACTCCAAGAAACTTTTTTTTTGTGTGTGTGTGTCATCTGATGAGCAAGTTGTGAAACTGTTTGTTGCTAACGGACAACCAAGTCCTGCAGTGGTACTTTTGAGTAAAAAAAACTCATAAAATATGTATCTGGAGTAATAAGGTATTAATGTTTAACTGTTGCAAATCAGCAACGCTTGCCTTGAAAGGGTTAAGGCTAATCCTATAAGGCAGGGGTCCTCAACCTTTTTCATTAAGGGGCCCGCTTCTTTCTCTGATCAATTTTTTAAGGCCCATTTGTCTGACATTTTCTCAAAAGTGTTTGCATGGCATGTTCCTTTAAATGTTTATTCATTCATTTATTTTCTTGTAGGATTAGTCCCTTTATTAATCTGGGGTCGCCACAGCAGAATGAACCGCCAACTTATCCAGCAAGTTTTTTTACACAGCAGATGCCCTTCCAGACACACACATTCACACACACACACACACACACACACACACACACACACACACACACACACACTACGAACAATTTAACCTACCCAATTCACCTGCACCGCATGTCTTTGGACTGTAGGGGAAACCGAAACACTCGGAGGAAACCCACACGAAGGCAGGGAGAACATGCAAACTCCACATAGAAACACCAACTGAGCCGAGGTTCGAAGCAGTGACCCAGTGACCTTCTTGCTGTGAGGCGACAGCACTACCTACTGCGCCACTGCCTCGCCCTAAATCTTTATTTGTTGAGAAATATATAATACCTACATATAATACTATATATATAACAAAATCCAAAAATTATAGTATAATATTAGGTAGGAGTGTGACGAGACGCCTACTTCACTAGACGAGACCAGACACGAGATTGGGTTCACGAGAACGAGAACAAGAGGAGATATTTACACTATTTTAAAGAAATCCTTAATGATGAAACATATGAATCAAATAGTCTTTAAATATTTTGCTAATATATAAATGGAAAATATATTTTTATAATAAAAATATGTTTTTAAATCACAAAATGCAAAACAATTTAAGTGTTTGTTTTTACCTGTATTGAACTTTCTTTTATTTTTAAGTATGCAATTTCCATAATTATTTTTATCATTTTATGCATGAAATAGTTTTACATTAGTTTATATTGAATTATATGCAGTGAGCATGCAAACACTGCAAAATATTTGTTAATATATAAATGGAAAATAGGAAACTCTACTGACTGCCTTTTCCCCTATAGAATTTCAGAGTATGTACATTGCAGATGTTGATGGTCAATTGGGATTTTGTGACAGTATCCAATTTGTTTTTTGATAACCTGCTTACATTTATCATATTTTAAAGGTGACTCGAATCCGACTGTCTGCATTTACACATCACACGGCAAAAGGCGCAATGGCCAGGAAAAAAGAGCGGGCGCTGACTAACAGCTGATAATTAAAGAGCGCTCTTTTCTCCATTCCTGAATTTATTCTGTTCGCAGGGTTTGATTTTCTTATTTTCTTTTTGACAAGTTGTTTTCCTATAGTTTATGACAGAAACACTCTCATTTGGCCATGTTCTTTTTATCTAGGCCTTTTTAAACCAGTAGGCATCTTAATGTAATGTCTATGGCCTGATTTGTGCAGCTGATGTATGCAACAGTATTATTTTATATTGGTTACGTGGTGGATGTTTCGGTCTCTTTCTCTCTCGTGAACAAACAAAAAATACATGTGCTACATGACAAAATAAAAGCGTTTTTTAGTCCTTGTGTAGAATTTGGTTACCTGAACCATAAAAAGAAACATAAACATGTTTGGTAATGATGAAAGCGGGTGTGTTGAGTCTCCATCAGTTCAGTATGTTTGTGTGCGCTTAGATATGTGTGTAGGTGCCGAGAATATAGTGTCAAACAGCTGTGTGGACTGTCCTGTCACAAAATGCAGCTAGAAGTCCTACACCATGATAATAGTTTGAATGCGGCGTTTACTGTACTGCACTTCAATAATGCGACTTTCTACACATCTCACTCCGGTGAGAAAAAAAAAGCGGTTACTTCACACCCACCCGCCTAAACGAGTGACATGTGCACCACAGAAGCCAGCCCTACCAGGTGTATGCAAAGCACTTGATTTGCAGTTCAAATTCAATCCTGCTTCCAATCTTCAATGCTAATTTGACCCTCACGCTCCATCATGCTAACATCTCAACTCACAAGACAACTTTTTACCTCGACGAGAAATTTCGTCGCGATTTAATCTCGCGAGATCTCTTGACTCCCTTAATATTAAGAGTTAATTTAAGGTATCTCGCGGCCCACCTGCAGGATCACTGAGGCCCACTAGTGAGAATCCCTGCTTTTAGACACAACGTTTCTACGTGCCTTTCTGCGTGCCTTAGGGTGCTTTCACACCTGTGAATCGATTCAGTTGTTCCGAAACAGGGATTAAAATTGTTAAT